CCAGGGTTAAATTCTTCAATTGCCTGCTGATAGATTTTATATAATCTAGGATAATACTTATTTGCTGATTGTTGAAGAAAATTCAGTGTCAATTCCTCCGAAAATCTTAATCTACAACTTTTTAATATTAAAAAATCGAAATTGGCTTGGGTTATGATATAATCTCATGCCAAACTTTGATAGAGGTTTATTCGATATGTGTAGAGAAGATAGAATTCAAGCTTTGCTAAAAAAAAATAATCATAAAAAAATATTATAATATGAAAATTTTATTTTTTGTTTTTTTTTTGCGAATTTTTTCTTTTTTCTTTTTTAGTAAAAACATTTCTACATATTAATTTTAATTGACAGGCCACTCTGACTGGTTCGGTTCATAAACTGCTGGTTTGACTAGTTGACTGGCAAAAAATGCAATAAAACTTTTCAAAAAAGATCTTCACATGATTTTGGTTAAAAAATTATTTTCCTTCCTGCCAAATTAGATATGATTGTTGAGTATTGGTCTAAATTTAGTAATAATCCTAGTGCTCAAATTCCTCATGAGCATAGTAAAGCACATGTTTTAAAAAAGAATAGAACTCTACAACAAATAATTTTTTTGAGAAAATATCTCTATTACATTAAAATTAAAGACCTATTCTATCAACTAATAGAGCTATTTTTTTAAAATGTAGGACAGAAATGACTTCTATACTTTTAAAAATTTAGGATGTCTTTAAACCAAGCCAACTATAGAATTAGGAAAAAAAAAAGGTGTTAAAAGCATAGGTAATTTCCTCAATTTTTAATGGAAGTGCACTTGAAGAAATTAACAGATTTTAACAGATTTTTGAAGATTCCGATAGAGCAAGTTCTATAGTATTTATTTTATTATTATAAATTGGATTTTTTAAAGAAATTTTTTTGTTTACATATTATGGTAGCATCACACATAAACTCTATGATTCATATATGAATTGATCAATGAGGGGGTTCGAATCCATCTTAATCTCCAAATTTGGAAATCTCCCTGACTGTACTCATGTATTATTGTATTACACATTTACAGTAAGCCACTTTGCTTGGCAAGTTATACAAGATAGATATCTATAATAGATTTTGTTGGACAAAATATTGTAAAAGCCACATTATTTGTAATACCCTAAAAGGTATAAATACACTTGGTTTTAGATCAAGTTAGAGGGACAATATTGATAATAACATTCATAATAACTTATAACAATTGAATAATTACCCCCCCCCCCCTCCATTGTTAATATTAAATAAACACATTTTACCTTATTACGAATTTTTGCATAGTTAACAGGAAAAGCCATTGTGAATTGTTCCATGATCCTCTCTGATGGTTAGTGTTCTGACCATGAATCATTAGTTAGGAAACCCCCCATCAGAGATGAAGATTCACTTTCAAAATTATTGTCATCAGAGACAAAGCAGACTTTGAGTCAACATATATTCCATAGTGTTGAGTTACCAGAGCAGATTTCATTAAATCATATAAAGATTTGAGTTACAATTTCAACCCAGTAAGCATGCTGCCAATAGATTATCCATGAAAAAAAACATCTCTTGATGATAGCTGCATAATAATGACAGCTTATGAGTTATTTCAAGGCTTGTAAGTGATAATAATAATATTAAATAGTAATAATAATAGTAATAATAGCTTTTTGCACTAATAATCTTATTGAATATTTTATTTGAAGATGCAATATTTGGAATTATAGACATTATTGACAGAGAGTGAATATAGTGAGAATCAGGGTTGGAAAATGTGCAGTTCATTGATGGTCCATTGGTGTAACATTTTAACCATATTTAATATTTTACTAATGGCAATGGACTAGTTCAAAATCCATCTGTTCTCAATGGACCAGTCAATTTGCCAACCCTGGTGAGAATGCTTATATAATCCATGCAGTATCCAAGATTTTGAATCCTATCTTTGGATGGCTGCTCAAGTGTGCATGGTGATGTATTTTTTCAAATTTTTATATTACAATATACATATGATGCACTAATAATTTCATGTTTATATATATGTATAGGTCTGAGCAAACAAGTAAGTCATCACAGTTGAGAAAAGAACAGATGGGGTCTACAAGTTTAAGAAGAAAGCCAGATCTGCAAATCATATTGAAGCAAGGTACAGTGGAAGATGAACTAATTCTTGCCAAAGCTTTGAGACTATTCCCCCAACATGATAAAGAAGATCTAGACTAGAAAAAATTAGTTTGTATATGCAAAGATTGCTTTGATGAGCAATCTAATAACTTTTTTGATGAAAGAAATAGTAATGATGTTGTAACAAGTTTGTTACGTGATAGGTTAGAGAAAATTCCTATCTTAGGAATTCAAGTAATAGGATGCCACACATCCATTTTTGCATTAGATTTAATCAAAGGTGCTTTTTACTAGTGTCAGTTTACAAAATTTCCTCTCCAAGTGTTGTTGAAGAATTTATAAACAATTGTCTCAACTAAAAATTATGGTAGAAAAAATTCTTGAAATGACAACAAAAAATATGAAAGATGAAATTGACAGTCTGTCAATAATTAACATTATTAATACTAATACTAATAATCCATCAGCAATGTCCACCACAAACTTATTCCCCACCAAGGAGGGTGATAAGTCACTTGATCCATGTTTAATTTTTTTTTTGTATATACCATATTGGGTAATATTATACAGAAAGGTTCTTTTTATGAAATATACAGAACCTATGTGACAAATAAGAATTAAGTCTTAGAGTTGGTAAACA